TAATTTCCAAATTTCATGGAAAATATGATGAATCAAACATGGCCTTAGACTTAAATAGTTGACGAACCGTTGACAACTCTAATGGTACAGTCAGTCAAGAAAATGCGAAGCAAGGTCTGGGATGGCATTCCACGTCTCTATCTCTCTCAAGCTTTTCGAAAGATGGCGTGGAAATCAAAATATCGTCATTTATCACTTCATTTAGTTATTTAATTATATTCTATTTTCATAATACAGTTTAAAATTAAAACCATAAAAACAAAATAATATAAAACAAAAATTCAGGAATGGAGAATGTTCCCATCCTAATTAGCTAATAGGCAGAGGCGATCCTGAGGGTGTGCGAGTTGAGCGACTGTACATGGCCTTATCAGTGTAGGGGCACCAAATTTTTTTTATTATTTGTGTATATATATGTATAATTATATATTTAAAATATTTATTAATTTTAATTTTAAAATTTTAGTTATTATGTTATATTAAATGGCACATTTAAAAGATGGACAAATGATGATTTTTATTTAACATTATTGTATTTCTTATTCCTAATTACAAATTATATCTAGGCATTTTTATTAAAGCAAGGGAAATTATTCAAATGGTTTAGGCTCCTTCATAGCTAATTTCAGTGTGTTGTGTTTAACTATTTTCATTTGTGAATTATTTATTTATTAATTGTATGCATTTGATTTGGTATGATATGCAATTGCACAAGATACTAAAACTAAGAATAATGTAATTGATTAGTTATAATTTTCTTAAATAGTATCCTATTTTAAATAATGTCGAGGAAAAGGAAAGAGAGGAAAACGTATAATTTGTAGGAAGAAACATTTTGATGAAAATGCCACAGTAAACAGCGCACAATCACTTGAAGATTCTTCCATAACTAATTATTTTATTAATATAGTATATCAAGCAATTGAATCACTTGACCGAAGGTTCGATCATTTCAATTCATATGAAAAAAATTGGATTTCTATTTTCTTTTGACAAGTTAAACACATTGGATGATACTGATTTGAAAGAATATTGTGATCATTTTGACATTTTTCTAAGACGTGTAAATTTTTGTGATCTTGATGGCAAAAATTTGTTTCAAGAGTTAAAAATTTTGTGAAATCTTTCACCAAAAGAAACAAAAACAGTTTTTGATATATTAACTTATTTGAAATACTAAAAGAAACAAATACTACTTTTGATATATTGACTTATTTGAAAAGATTAGATTTCTTTTCGAATACATTTATTGTTTATAGAGTATTACTGGAAATTAATGTTATTGTTGCATCTGCCGAAAGAAATTTTTCAAAATTGAAATTATTGAAATTTTATTTACAATCAACCATGTTATAAGAATAGTCGAATGACCTAGTTTTGATATCTGTTGAACAAGATTTGTTAGAAACGAAAGTTTCATTAGTTAGTTTGCTTCTAGAAATATGAAAAGAAATATTTTTACATGATTTGTTATATTTTAAAGTTTACATGTGGTATTTGATGTTTTTTATTCAAAGTTTTCTCATATGGAATTACACGAAAAGTTTAGGGGTTTGGATGGTTCTTTATTGATGACATGAATTTTGATGAAATTTGGAAGATATTTTTGAACTTTATTTATACTTTTCTTATTCAAGACATTTAGAGTTTGTTTGGTATGATATTTTGGGGGAAGAATTGATTTTTGAATAGTGATATGATGGAAAATGTATGGTTGAAAAAGAAGAAAAAATTATTGATGTGATGGAAAATATTATTTTATTGAAAAATGTGTGATTGAAAATAAGAATTGATTTACTGTAAACAATGAGAATCCCTACCAAACAGGCCCATATTAT